AAAACCATGCTGCCTATCACTAATAAGCCCATTTTCTTCCAAATGTAAATAGATCCTATCCCTCAGTATCTTCTCCAGCAGCTTCCCCACCACTGACGTCAGGCTCACCGGTCTATAATTAGCTGGATTATCCTTGCTACCCTTCTTAAACAAGGGGACAACATTAGCAATTCTCCAGTCCTCTGGGACCTCACCCATGCTCAAGGATGCTGCAAAGATATCTGTTAAGGTCTCAGCTATTTCCTCTCTCGCTTCCCTCAGTAACCTGGGATAGATCCCATCCAGACCTGGGGACTTGTCCACCCTAATGCCTTAACACTTCCCCCCTCCTTATGCCGACTTGACCTAGAGTAATCAAACATCTATCCCTAACCTCAACATCCGTCATGTCCCTCTCCTCGGTGAATACTGATGCAAAGTACTCATTAAGAATCTCACTCATTTTCTCTGACTCCTCGCATAACTTCCCTCCTTTGTCCTTGAGTCGGCCAACCCTTTCTCTAGTTACCCTCTTGCTCCTTATGTACAAATAAAAGGCTTTGGGATTTTCCTTAACCCTCTTTGCTAAAGATATTTCATGACCCCTTTTAGCCCTCTTAACTCCTCGTTTCAGATTGGTCCTACTTTCCCGATATTCTTCCAAAGCTTCGTCTGTTTTCAGTCGCCTAGACCTTATGTATGCTTCCTTTGTCCTCTTTGCTAGTCTCACAATTTCACCTGTCATCCATGGTTCCCTTATCTTGCCCTTTCTATCCCTCATTTTCACAGGGACATGTCTGTCCTGTACTCTAATCATCCTCTCTTCAAAACCTCCTACATATCAAATGTGGATTTACCCTCAAACAGCTGCTCCCAATCCACATTCCCCAGCTCCTGTCGAATCTTGCTATAGTTGGCCTTCCCCCAATTTAGCACTCTTCCTTTAGGACCACTCTCGTCTTTGTCCATGACTATTCTAAAACTTACGGAATTGTGATCACTATTCCCAAAGTAATCCCCTACTGAAACTTCAACCACCCAGCCGGGCTCATTCCCCAACACCAGGTCCAGTATGGCCCCTTCCCAAGTTGGATTCTTTACATACTGCTCTATAAAACCCTCCTGGATGCTCCTTACAAATTCTGCTCCATCTAAACCCCTAACACTAAGTGAATCTCAGTCAATGTTGGGAAAATTAAAATCTCCCATCACCACCACCACCCTGTTGCTCCTACATCTTTCCATAATCTGTCTACATATTTGTACCTCTATCTCACGCTCGCTGTTGGGAGGCCTGTAGTACAACCTCAACATTGTTACCGCACCCTTCCTATTTCTGAGCTCTGCCCATATTGCCTCACTGCTCGAGTCCTCCACAGTGCCCTCCTTCAGCACAGCTGTGATATCCTCTTTGACCAGTAATGCAACTCCTCCACCCCTTTTACCTCCCTCTCTATCCCACCTGAAGCATCTATATCCTGGGATATTTAGTTGCCAATCTTGCCCTTCCCTCAACCAAGTCTCAGTAATAGCAATAACATCATACTCCCAGGTACTAATCCAAGCCCTAAATTCATCTGCCTTACCTACTACACCTCTCGCATTAAAACAAATGCATCTCAGACCACCTGTCCCTTTGCGTTCATCATCTGCTCGCTGTCTCCTCTTCCCCTTTGTCACACTGACTTCATTATCTAGTTCCTTACAGGCTTTAATTACTACCTCCTTACTGTCCACTCACCTCCTCATTTGGTTCCCATCCCCCTGCCACATTAGTTTAAACCCTTCCCAACAGAGTTAGCAAAAGCAGCCCCTAGGACATTGGTTCCAGTCCTGCCCAGGTGTAGACCGTCCGATTTGTAATAGTCCCAGCTCCCCCAGAACCAGTCCCAATGTCCCAAAAATCTGAAGCCCTCCCTCCTGCACCATCTGTCAAGCCACTCATTTATCCTGCCTGTTCTTTCATTTCTACTCTGACTAGCACGTGGCACTGGTAGCAATCCTGAGATTACTCCCTCTGAGGTCCTACTTTTTAAGTTGCCTCCTAACTCCCTAAATTCTGCTTGTAGGACCTCATCCCGTTTATTACCTATATCATTGGTAACTATATGCACCATGACAGCTGGCTGTTCACCCTCCCCCTTCAAAGTCCTGCAGTTGATCTGAGACATCCCTGACCCGTGCACCTCGGAGGCAACATACCATTTGGGAGTCTTGTTTTCGACCACAGAACCGCCTATCTACTCCCCTTACAATCGAATCCCCTATAACTATAGCCCTTCCATTCTTTTTCCCGCCCTTCTGTACAGTAGAGCCAGCCACGGTACCATGAACCTGGCTACTGCTGCTTTCCCCTGGTGAGCCATCTCCCCCAACAGTATCCAAAACGGTATACCTGTTTTGGAGGGAGATGACCGCAGGGGACACCTGCACTGCCTTCCTGCTTTTTTTCTGCCTTTTGGTCACCCATTCCCTTTCTCCCTCAGCAATCCTAATCTGCGGTGTGACCAATTTGCCGAACGTGCTATCCATGACTTCCTCAGCATCGCAGATGCTCCAAAGTGATTCCATCTGCAGCTCCAGAGCTGTCATGCAGTCTAACAAGAGCTGCAGCTGGACACAGTTCCTATACATGTAGGAGTCAGGGACATCAGCCGAATCCCTGAGCTCCCACATTGAGCAAGAGGAGCATGACACGGGTCTGGGATCTCCTGCCATTTTTACTCCTAAGCTTAGCTTAGTCCTACTATAATATCAAATATTGGATAAATGAAATGAAAAAATTTTTACCAATCACTCGACTTACCAGCACACGATTTTAAAAAAAGGGAAAAAACCTACCTTCTCAACACACCACAGAGTCTTTTTCTCGGTCAGAGGAGGAGGGCAGGTGGTGTAGTGTCTCGGGTTTAGCCACTGCCCAAATATATCAGTTCACTCACCTTCCCAGAGCGCAATTTGACCGCTCCCACTCAGCTCCACTGCCGAAATGTACAGCATGGAAACAGACCCTTTGGTCCAACTTGTCCATGCTGAGAACTGGCACAGATACAATGGGCTAAATGGTTGCCTTTTGCACTGTGACATTTGATATTTGAATATTTTCGTTTATACCCAACCTGATTTGGGCCAGAAGGTTTTAGATTATCTTTACTCAGATATACCTTAGGGTAAAGATACACTTCCTGATATCACCAAAGTCCTCATTTTAAAGGTTGGGCATCCTCCGGATTCTCCCATCAGAGGGAATAAATTTTGTGATTTTCCAAAGAAAAAAGTTAATTGAGTATAAAAAGTTGGAAAGTCATATTGCAAATGTATCAAACTTTAGTTCGGTCACATTTGGAGTATAGTGTACAATTTTTGTCACCAAACTATAGGAAGAATGTGGAGGCTTTGGGGAGGGCGCAAAAGAGATTTATCAGGATGTTGTCTGGATTGGAGTGTATTTGCTATAAGGAGAGGTTGGACAAACTTAGATTGTTTTTGCCGGAACAGTGGGGGCTGACAAATGACCTGAAAGAAGTATATAAAATTATGAGAGGCATGAATAGGGTAGAAATGTCAAATACTAGGAGGCAGAGATTTAAGATGAGAGTCAGACGTCATGGAGACATACAGCATGGAAACAGACCCTTTGGTGCAACTCATCCATGCTGACCAAATATCTAAAATTAATCTAGTCCCATTTGCCAGCATTTGGCTCATATCCCTTTAAACCCTTCCTACTCATATACCCATCCAGATGCCTTTTAAATGTTGTAATCATACCAACCTCCATTACTTTGTCTGGCAGCTCATTCCAAACCTGTACCAGCTTCTGCGTGAAAAAGTTGCCCCTTAGATCCCTTAAGTATTCCCTCTCTCAACTTAAATCTATGCCCTCTAGTTTTGTGAGGCAAGGTTTTTTACTTAGATGATAGTAGGTGCTGGAATGTACCTAGAATGTACCTGGAATAACCTGGAATGTGCTGCTGGGGGAGGTGGTAGAAACAGGTACGATGGCAACGTTTAAGAGACATTAAGATACACGAAAAGGCAGAGAACAGGAATATGGATCATGTGCAGACAGATGGGATCAGTTTAGTATGACATTAGGATCAACACAGATATGATGGGTGTTCCTGTGCAGCACTATACTATGTTCTAACTTTCTGAAACGCCTCCATTAGATCATCGTTTTAATCTTGTCTCCTCATGCAATTCAGGAAAGTAAAAGACATTTGTACAGTGCCTGGATATCTTGTTTTGAAGTGTATTCACTTGCAATTATAATATAGGAAACGTGACAGCTAATATGCACAGCAGGATCCCACAAACAACAAAGTAATTGACATTGATTGAGGGATAGGCATTTGCCAAGACACGGCAGATTAATCCCCCGATCTTCAAAATAATGCAAGGTTTACATTAACCTGAACAAATGATGGGGACTTGGTTTAATATTTCATCTTAAAGGTGCCATCTCCGAACTTGTAGCTCGTATTGAGGGTATGTCATCCATTGCAGTTCTGTTTGAAAGACCCATTCAATTATTCCCATTTCCAGTTTTGCTTCCCATTGCCCTGTAAACCTTCCCTTTTTTAAGTATTTACCCACACCTCTTTGAAGTTGCCAATGTATCTGCTGCCCCGTCCACCACTGTTTTTTCAGGCAGTGCAATAGACTGTAAAAATATGTCTTCCAATTTCACAATATTCCCACTTATCCTAAATCCACTTGCCCTATCAAAATGGCACATAATTAGGTATTTTTACTGAACCAGCTCTAACTTTCTTGAAGGAGAAATGTAGTGATTGCAATGAGGTCAGCAAGCCTTCAAAGTAAGCATAACTCCATACCACCAATCATCCAATGAGCTGGCAGAAAGAGCAGTCCAAACTTTGAAAGGTGGCTGACCTCATTTCAATCACTACAAGAACGATCCCTGTTTCTCCATTTAGTTAGAGTCTGTTGCTTTCCATAAATGTTTCTTCCTTTCGCAAGAAATCCAACTAATTCTCAGTTTATGAACATTCCAGGGCTGGAGTGAGGAACTGAAACTCCCCAGTCTAAAGCAGAGGCCTGGGAGATGGCAGTTACAGTCCCACCACAAGGACCTGTTGCGACCAACTGAACGTGCGTTTCACAACACTGGGGGTACCTCAACATTCCTTAACCCTCGCCGCTGTGGTGTTCCTGATCTACCATCTGGGAAAAATATTCAGCATGGCTCCATGAAAAGGAAACGACGCTTTGTGCTGGCAGGAGGACGGTGGAACAAAACTGACCTGACATACAAGTAGGAGATTACTATCTAGGGAATTACCCAGGATCATATTGTACCCTGTGATGCAGTTTAGTTTGCTCTGTTAACCCATGTAATATATACCGTGAAGAGTGGACTTTTAATCCGATTTCTTATAGTTTATGACCTGAGTACTGTATTTACATTGCGTGTGTGTGTGTGTGTGTGTGTATGTATTGTAGCAATCTGGATTCTGTGCTTCTTGATTACATTACATGCACGTAGCTGACTGATCACAGACACATCAAATTAAGACCAGGTGAGTACCTTTTTATATTAGAATGTTGCATGTTGTGATATCATGTAACTTTCTTAAAGGTACAATGTCTGTGTGGTCAGGAATCTGTGCCATAATACAACACACTGTCCATCCCAAGGGAACACTACCAAGGATTACGCTGTATGCTGTCCATCCTATTTTCTATCACTTAGCCAATTTCCTATGCATGTTGCTACTGCGCCCTTTTTATTCCATGAGCTATAACATTTTGCTCAAAAGTCTGTGTGACTTTGTATGAGATGCCTTCTGGAAGTCCATGTCCAATAGAAGAACAATATTGCACTCCTCATCTTTCTCTGCTACCTCATCAAATAACTCCAGCAGGTTAATTAAACATGACTTTCCCTTAAGAAATCCATGCTGCCTTTATTAACTTGCAGTCGTTCATGTGGCTATTTAATTCTGTTCTCGATCATCATTTATTGGAACTTCTCCACGACCACAGTTAACCTAAGGCCTGTAGTTGCATGGCCTACTGTTGTACACTTTTGAGCTGTGTGTAATCTTTGCAATTTTCCAATCATTTGGCACCAAAGCTGAGTGGAAGGATGAGCAGAAAAGGTCTTGCTAATGGCTCAACAATTTCCAGTCTTTCTTCCTTCAACAGCTTTACATGCATCTCATCCAATCTCCGTGCCTTGTCAACTCTAAATTTGGACAGCCTAATCAATACCTCCTTATCAATCGTTAATCCTTCAAGATTCTTAACTGCTACCTCATTCACCATGAACTGTCCAATGCCTTCTTCCTTGGCAAAGACTATATTCATTTAACATCCAGCTATGCCTCCTCCCTCCGTGTATAATTCCCTACTTTAGCCCTCAGTTGGCCACAATCTTCCATTTACCAACCTCTTTAATATGTATTTGCTTATATAAGACATTTAGATTTTTTTTAATTAGCTGCCACTCTCTTATCATACTCCCTTTTTGCTTCTATAATTTTGCTGTTTCACTCCCCCTCTGAGCTTTCTATATTTGGCCTGATTCTCAGTCGTATTATCTTAGAGTCTGAGGGGTTGGAGCTGTACAGCATGGAAACAACTTGGTCCAATGGTCCAACTTGTCCATGCTGACCAGATATCCTAAATTAATCCAGTGCCATTTTCTAGCATTTAGTCCATATCTCTCTAAACCCTTCTTATTCATATACCCATCCAAATGCCTTTTAAATGTTCTAATTGTACCAGCCTCCACCACTTCCTCATGCAGCTTATTCCATACACGCACCACCCTCTGTGGAAAAAATTGCCCCTTAGATCGCTTTTAAATCCTTCCCCTCTCACCTTAAACCTATGCTCTCTAGTTTTGGATTCGCCTACCCTGGGGAAAAGACTTTGGATATTCACCCTATCCCTGCCCCTCATGATTTTATAAACCTCTATAAGGTTCAACCCCTCAACCTCCAACACTCCAGGGAAAACAGCCCCAGCCTATTTCAGCCTCTCCCTACAGCTCAAACCCTCCAACGCCGGCAACATGCTTGTAAATCTCTTCTGAACCCTTTCAAGTTTCACACTGTCCTTCTTATAGTAGAGAGACTAGAATTGTATGCAGTATTCCAAAAGTGGTCTAACCAATGTCCTGTACAGCTGCAACATAACTTCCCAACTCCTATACTCAATGCACTGACTAATAAAACAAGTGTACCAAACCCCTTCTTCACTATCCTGTTGACCTGGGAGTCCACTTTCAAGGAACTATGAACCTGCACTCCAAGGTCTTTGTTCAGCAATACTCCCCAACACCTTACCATTAACTGTATAGCCCTGCCCTGATTTGCCTTTCCAAAATGCAGCACGTCACATTTATCCAAATTAAACTCCATCTGCCACTCCTTGGCCCATTGACCCATCTAATCAAGGCCCCTTTTTACTCTGAGGTAACTATTTTCGCTGTCCAATACACCTCTAATTTTGGTGTCATCTGCAAACTTACTAACCATACCTTCTGTGTTCATATCCAAATCATTTATATAAGTGATGAAAACCAATGGATGCAGCACCAATCCTTGTGGCACACCGCTGGTCACAGGCCTTCAGTCTCTACCACCACCCTCTGTCTTCTACCTTTGAGTCAGTTCTGTATCCAAATGGCTAGTTCTCCCTGTATTCCACGTGATCTAACCTTGCTAACCAGCATACCATGAGGAACCTTATCAAACACATTACTGAAGCCCATATAGATCACATTCACACCTCTGCTCTCATCAATCCTCTTCGTTACTTCTTCAAAATATCTGACCTCTGACACTTTTTTTCCCTTAATCTTAATCTACATCTCTTTTGTCATCCAGACAGCTCTGGATTTCCCTGCTTTATTTTATCCCCTTTATGGAAATATACCTTGAGTATGCCCAAAGCTAAAAGGCAGCCCATTATCCAGTTACAGCTTTTCCTGCCAACCTTTGAATCAGTCTATCTGGGTCAGATCCATTCTTGCTCCATTGAAGTTGGCTTTCCGCCATTAATTATACTTACACTGGAATGTTCTTTAACCTGTTCGATAGACTGCCTCAACCTTTTTAGAGGACGGTGACTACTGACTCCCCAAAGTCTGTCCATCATCCAAAAAGCACAATTCAGGAATATGATGGAATATTCCCAATTTGCCTGAATGTGTGCAGCTCCAACAACACTCAAAATTCATGATTATCCAGGACAAAGGAGCCTGCTTGATGGGCATCCTATTTCACATCTTCCACATTCACACCTTTCACCACTGGGCAAAGTAACACAGATGCACTGCAGTAGCTCCCCAACTCTCCTACAGTAGCACCTTTTAAACTCCACAACTATTGCCGTTCTTAAGGGTAACTAGGGATAAACAATTATTGCTGGACCAGCCAGCAATGCTCACATCCTGTGAAGAATATTTTAAGGGTCTTCTAGAGTCAATGTTGATATCAAAAATTTCAGGCCAACTGCTCTGTTCCATATTTTTGTTTCCTTTTCTTTACTTGATTTTTTTTCACCAATTTTTGCTTTCAGATAACATCTCTTTCTATTTTTGTTCCAATCCCACATTTCCTGAGCACCCCGTATCCAGTAAGATTAAGCACCTAATCCTACCCTTCCTCAAGCCAGTCTGTTATTTCCACAAGATGATATTTCTGCGCCGCAATCTCTGCCCATAACTCCCCAATTTTAAGTAACACATTCCCTACATTCACATAAATACACAGTAATCCTGTTTTAGACTTTATTACTTTCTCCCTTACTATTTCCTACTCTAATGTTATTTATCTATTCTGGTATTGTTGAACCTTGCTATTCTGCTCTGACCTTACCTTCTGTCCCTACACCCTACAAAGTTTAAATTCTCCCCAGTAACTCCAGCAATTGGCCCTACAGAAAGTTGGTCCCAGTTCTATTTGGCTATGGCAATTTGGCCTTTAAAATTTGAGATAACTATTTGCCCTGACAAAGCTACAGATCAACGGTATGCCTTTGTTTTTGTTGAGTTGATTGGGAGATCCTGAATATATCTCTAATAGCATCCTGGAAATATTCAATGTTGAGGGCAGTGGTCACTTTCAAGGCTGCTTGATATACAGTGCCATCAGGCAACTAGTTTTCCTCCAGGAGACAGGATGTAACTGCCATTTTTTTTAGCAGCATCCAGAAACATGGCTGTCAGCAATGCAAGAAATGGAGTATACTCCCAGCTGGGTACTGTACCTGAGTTATCCTTTTTGCTGCATCCTTTCTGCTTACCAGCTTTAGACCCCAGCATGGTGACTGTTGTTGCTAATGATCATCTAGCTCATGCTCTCTGGCTCCCCCCCTTCCTCCCAAAAGCAAGTTCCATCCTGATCCTAATCTCAATATCTTTGTAATGTAGAAATGAATCCCTTGCCAAGGCAAAGCCTTTCCCACTGGAGGGAGCCATAGTTATACAGTATAAGAACAGGCCCTTCAGCCCACCATGTCTATTCCCACCTACAAACACCAAACTACACTAATTTCATTTACCTGCACTTGGATCATAGCCTACTATGTTGTGGCATTTAAAATGCTCTTTCAGATGCTCCTTAAATATTACAAGAGTACCTATCTCCACCACACTCTCAGGCAGCACATTCCATATTTCTATGATGCTCTGGATGATTATTTTTTTCTCATTATCCACTTACTCCTCACCTTAAACTAATGCCCTCCTGTCTTAGACATGTCTGCCATGGCAAAAGGATTCTCATGATCCACCCTCTCTGTGGCTGTCATAATTTTGTATACCTCAAGCAGACTCCCTCACGCCCAAGCTTCCTCTGCTCCAAGGATTTTTCTTTCCAGTCCAATAGTGTGGTGACCAGAATTACACCTAACCTCTTAGAGGTAAGAAAACAGGCTTGTCATTCTCATCTCTAATAGGATAATAATTGCTCAATTCATTGCTATATCTGCCTGACTTTCAATGACCTCCATTAACTGCAACTCTATTCATGTTTTTGGTTCAATGGCAAGTTTCAGAAAGCTTAAGAAACCTGTGGATCCATGTTTGCTGGAGCTTCTGTTTGTGTCTGGCCAGCTTGTTGTGCTGTGTAGTGTCTTTACAACCACCACAAACCCATGTTTGCGCACCTCACATTGCTTGTGTGCTGTCTCCCTGTTTGTTCTCCACCTGGGAATTTCCCGATGCTTAGGGGAAAAGTTACTGCAAATTCACAGTTAGATTTGAACAAGGCTTTAAAATATTGTTGAACCTGATTAATAAACAGTGTTTAAATTACTACCCAACTTCCCCTGGAGTTGATGTATGTGCAGCTGAATTGGAGGCAGGTTCAGCACAGGCCCAGACCTGCCGACTATTTTGGTGAACCTAAGCTCCCACCACCACATTTACAGAAACTGTTATCCCAGGTTAAAATTCTATCAGACGGGCCTAGGGGATTTGTCAATGTTGACAGCTCTTGAATATTGAGCTATACAAAGCAGCAAGGTTGTTGTATGTCTGACTAACCCCTTACAGTCTCTCAAAAAACTATCACAGGTTTCTTTTCTTCTAGAATAGTGCGATTTCCTTGGCAACTCAACCAAGTAAAAGTAAGACATGCTATTGCTGAAGCAGTGAGAGTGTGGAGTGATGTGACTCCCTTAACGTTTACCGAGGTACAAGACACCAGTGCTGACATTATCATTGAGTTTACACGGTAAGAGTTACTGAGGATGGAGAGAGAACCCTCTGTTCAACAGCCATAATTGAAACACAGTCGATGAAGATATTTAGTAGAGAGTAGGTCCGGAGCAGGCCTAAATAAAAACTGAAAGAACTCACAGATGCTGTAAATCAGGAACAAAAACAGAAGTTGCTGGAAAAACTCAGCAGGCCTGGCAGCTTCTATGAAGAAAAAAGTCAGTTAACGTTTCGGGTCCGGTGACCCTTCCTTCTGGAGATGAAGTTAACGGAGATGAGAGGCTATCATACAGGCTGTTTGGGAAGACTGAGTGATATTATCACTAGACTACTAATCCAGAAACTCAGCAACGTTCTGGAGACCTGGGTTCAAATCCCGTCATGGCAGAAGTTGGAATTTGAATTCAACAAAGAATCTGGAATTAAGAGTCTAATGTTGACCATGAAGCCATTGTCAATTGTTGGGAAAAACCCATCTGGTTTACTAATATCCTTTAGGGAAGGAAATCTGTTATTCTTACCTGGTCTGGCTTACATGTAATTCCAAACTCATACCACTGTGGTTGACTCTCAACTGCCCTCTGGACAATAGGGATGGCTAATAAATGCTGACTTAGCCAGAGATGCTCACATCCCATGAGTGAATACAAAAAATATACAACAAGTGACCAAGTGCTGAGAGAAAGCTTTCTAACTGGGCCACAGCAAAGTGGGAAATTGCTGTGCAGATTCACGCTGACAGTGTGCATTTAACAGGGGTGGGGAAGCACACTTTACCCAGTATTACTTGGAAATTGAGATTTTTTTTCCAACAAAAGTAACAGCTTCATGTATAGGATGGATAGATTAGCAGGAATGACAGTAAGCAAGCAGTAGCAGACATTTAAGGAAGTAATTCATGACTGTCAGCAAAAATATATGCCAGTAGGAAGGAAGGATTCTGAGAGGGATGAACCAATTATGGCTAGCCAAGGAAGTTGAGGAGAGGATTAAGTTGAAAGAAAAGCATTTAAGGTGGCCAGAGTCCCTCATAGTCTTGAAGACTGGGATAAATTCGGAATCCAGCAAAGGAGAACTAAAACAAAAAATAAGGAGAGAAACTATGAGAGCAAACTAGCAAGGTATATAAGAACATAAGAGTTGCTTTAAATATATAAAAACAAAGAGAGAGATTGAAGTAAACATAGGTCACTTGGAAAATGAATCTGGGAACGAGTTATCAGGAACAAGGAAATGGCAGAGGAGTTAACAAATATTTTGCATCAGTCTTGATGGGGGAAGATATTTTGAGCATCCCATTAATACTAAAGAATACGGGAAAGGAATTGAATACCATCACCATCACTAAAGAAATAGTTATTAGATGAAGTCTTCTGGCCCTGATGGCTTAGGTCCTAGGATCCTAAAAGAAGTAGCTGCAGAGATGGTGGATGCCTTGGTTAGAACAAAGAAGGCCCACAATGTTGTGCCAAACTTTTACCCTAAACCTAAGGTCTATCTAACCTCCACTCCTACCTTATACTATCATCCATATGCCTATCTAATAGCCGCTTAAATGCCCCTAATGAGGCTGACTCCACTACCCTCTCCGGCAATGCATTCCACGCCCCGACCACTCTCTGAATAAAGAACCTACCTCTGACATCTCCCCTCTATCTACCTCCACTCACTTTCAAACTATGCTTCCTCATAATAACTACCTCCACCCTAGGAAAAAGTCTCTGGCTGTCCACTCTATCCATATCTCTGATCATTTTGTACACCTCTATCAAGTCACCTCTCATCCTTCGTTGTTCTAAAGAGAAAAGCCCTAGCTCTCTCAACCTTTCCTCGTAAGACCTTCCCTCCATTCCAGGCAACATTTCTGAAGAAGGGTCTAGGCCCAAAACGTCAGCCTTCCTGCTCCTCTGATGCTGCTTGGCCTGCTGTGTTCATCCAGCTCTACACCTTGTTATCTAACATCCTGGTAAATCACCTCTGTACCTTTTCCAACGCTTCCACATTTTTCCTGTAATGAGGCGATCAGAACTGGACACAATACTCCAGATGTGGCCGAACCAGGCTTTTGTATAGCTGTAATTTTCCAAAATTTCTTGAATGCTGGAGAAGTACCAGAGGATTGGAAAACAGCCAAGGTGATACCCCTATTCAAAAAGAGAGAGACAAAATGCAGGTAACAATAGGCTGATTAGCCTAACATCTATTGTTGGAATCAATTATTAAGAAAGTAAAAGCAGAACATTTAGAAAATCATAATCTAATATAGCAGAGTCAGCATGGCTTCATGAAAGGGAAATTGTGTCTGATGAATTTGAGAGTTTTTCCCTGAAGTCTCCACCAGAGTGGATAGAGCGGGTACCAGTCGGTGGACTTGGGCTTCAAGAAGGCTTTTAACAACATACCTCTCAAAAGGTTAAGTTATAAGAGCCCGTGGTGTTAAAGGTAGTATATTGGCATGGATAGAGGATTGGCTCATGGGCAGGAATGAACAAATGGGAATAAGGGTTTTTATTTTCATGTTGGTGACCTATGACCAGTGGGTTCCACAGGGATCAGGGATGGGACCACAACTGTTTACAATATATAGGAATGTCTTGGAGGAAGGAAGTGAATGTTCAGTAGCCAAATTTGCAGATGACACCACAATAGGTGGAAAGACAACTTGTGAGAGACATACAGGCAGTTTAGAGAGATTGATATATTAAGTAATTGGGTAAAAAGTTGGTAAGTGGAGTATAATGTGGGAAAATGTAAAGTTGTTCATTCTGGAAGGGTGAACAAAAGAAGGGAATAAAAGTTTCTATTTCTTCTGGTCTTATGGGTTCCCGGGGATGGTTACTGTTCAGAGGCATTCAGTGCCTGATGAAGAGATCTGTAATGTGAGAAGGGAGTTGCCCACTGAAAGCCTTTGCTGGCTATTCCCCTCTTCCCACTCCCTGCGAATCCTTTCCCACCATCTATTCCATGTGCTGACTCTCCCTCCTCAATCTGAGCTCTCAGGTGGGTGTGGTATCAGCAGCAGCCAACACCTACCTGAGGGTGCTGCTGAATACAGAAGAGTGGACTGACTCACTGCCAGCTCCTGGGGAGGTGACCTTTTGAGTTTTAGGGGAGATTCTGTGAAACTGACAGATGTTCCATTGCTAGTCTGTTAATACCTGAAATGCAGCAGAAAAAAAAAGTCAATGCAGGATCTCCAGTCGAAACCCCAGTCACCACCACAAGATTCCACACTGCTGGCCTTTTCAGAAGGGTCTATTTGTTGTGGTGGTGAGCCTTGAGACAGAAAGATCTGCAGCACAGAAAAAGGTCCTTCAGCTCTATGAGTCCACTGTCCAGGGTCCACAGGACCGCTACCAGTTTAAAAAACGACCACCTAACTATTCTAATCCCATTTTCCAGCACTTGGCCCATAGCTTTATATGCCTTAGCAACACATGTGTACATCTAAGTACTACTTAAACGTTATGAGGATTCGGTCCTTTACCACCCTTACAGGCAGTAAGTTCAAGATTCCCATCACCGTCTGGATAAAAAAAATTCTCACATCCCCTCTAACCTCCCTGCCTTTATCTTAAATATATGGTTCCCACTGTCAATGCTGAACTGTAAAGAGGTTGTTGTTGTGTTTTCACGCCCAGGAATGCCTTTCTCTGTCGTTCAGCCAGTTTCTAAGATATCACGTTCTGTTGAAAAGCAACTTGTCAGCATATGAATTTGAATTATGTCGGGTTGTTCCTTGTCACCTTTCAGGTATTGGCATGGAGATAACCTGCCATTTGATGGCCCTGGAGGGGTGTTAGCTCATGCTTTCTACCCTCAAACCCCTCAGGCTGGGAATATTCACTTTGACTATGATGAACTGTGGACCACTGACAGCAACAAGGGTAAGTTAGCTCACAACTGGCAGCAGATATAATGTAAGTTACCCTGGCTGCCCTTGAGAAGAGAGGAGGGTAATATCCTGGATATAAATGCAGGTTTGCAAGTGATGCTTTTTAAAAGCTTGGCCAATCAAGAGAGTTGGAGGCTCCAACCACCCACTTCCTCTGTGTCCTTCTGTTATATCCTGCTACCCACCTCAACCAATGCTGTCAGGAAATTCAAACCCCCAATAAAAGGAGTGATGATGTACAGCATGAATTCCGCAGTGGACAAGAGAGAAAGCCAGGACCCTGAGAGGTGCTTCTCCCTGGAAAGGGAAGAGGTCTGTACCTCACCATGCCTGCCCTAAACCAGAAACCAGCCCATGAGCAGACACCTGCTCCAGCTGTTGATCACTGGCAGCTCAAGGCCTACTCTTCACAGCAGGATCTATAAAATAGAGTTTACGCTCTGCTACTTTGGGTTCAAAGATCAAAGATGTACCCACACCCCATAGGGTGACCTGTCTGCTGCTGTCCCCACCACAATTGTACCCGTGGCAGAGTTGGCATTAGGCACCAGTGGGACAATTGAAACTGTCAGGTGGAAAATCCATTCTCATTGAAGGGCCCCATTGTTGATGCTGGTGAGATTGGGCTCACAGCAACAAAGACCTACAACTTCACCCATCCCCCCAACCCCTCCTAACTTCCTGATCCTTTGGGGCCTACCAGCTTTGCACTCCAGGGGACTCTGACCCTGCTGGGTTGGTTCCAGTGCAGCTCTTGGCCTCTTTGGCCCGGTTGCCCAGCACTGGGTGCCATCATATAGTCTTGTCTGCATGACCTTTCACCCATGGGAACAGGAGCTACCGCAGCCTGCAACACCCAGTCTTGGTCAAGTTACAGAGGAGGCGATGGCCTAGTGGTATTATCATTGAATTGTTCATCCAGAGACTCCGGTAATGTTCTAGAGACCGGGTTTGAATCCTGCTCTGGCAGATGGTGGAATTTGAATTCCATAAAAATATCTGGAATTAAGAATCTAATGATGACTGTGAATCCATTGTCGATTGTCAGGAAATACCCATCTGGTTCACTAACGTCCTTTAGGGAAGGAAACTGCTATCCTTACCTGGCCTGGCCTACATGTGATTCCAGACCCACAGCAATGTGGTTGACTCTGAACTGCACTCTGGGCAATTAGGGATGGGTAATAAATGCTGCCAGGCCAGTGATGCTCTCATCCTGTTAATGAATAAAGAAAAAAAATTGGATAAGCTTTCTGTTGTGGGTTGGATTTGTGGGGATGGTACGAGTGAGTTTGGCCTTTAGGAGAGGCAGTGGTAAAGATTGCTGTCAAAGTTCCCATGCTGCATTATTGGGAACCAGCCCGTGGTGACACTATTGCCTCTGTTTTGTGGACAGGTACAGACCTCCTTCAAGTAGCAGCGCACGAGTTTGGCCATGCACTTGGACTGCAACACTCTAGGATCCCAAAATCCTTGATGTCACCTTATTATACTTTCCGCTATCCACTGAGTCTGGCCGAGGATGACAGACAAGGAATACAGTATTTATATGGCAGCTCTCATGGCAATGGAGTCAAACAACCAAATCCGGACATGGAAAGTAATGAATTACCCAGGGTTGACCATCATGGAAATGAGGTACAGTGACCAGAAGGTTTACAGAGATAGGCTATAGGAACAGCAGGAGGTCATTCAACTCTTTTAGCATGTTCCTCCATTTCATTACATCATGGATGATCTGTACCTCAACTCCATTTGCTCTATTTCTCTTAATATCCTCACAAACAAAACCTTATTTATGTCCATGCAGGAAGCTCCAGTTGTTTCCCAGCACTCACAGACCTTTTTCAGGAGTGAGTTCCAGGTTTAATTAGGCCTTTGCACTTGCTAATTTCACTCCTGAACTTTAACTGGACTCTTACACCACAGGCAGGAGTCTTCTTCCACTTTTATTATCATTTTAAACATACCAAGATATGAGACCTTGAAATAAATAAATGCAGTTCAAACTTTTAACTCTGCCTCGGCGGTCAAGATGATTTCAGCACTGATTTTTCTGGGAGTTCCTCTGCTTGCCTGCGTGAACTTCACAGGGTCCCTGTTTTCCATGCAGGGAACATTTTGTGTTGGGGAAAATTCACAAATTCACAACCCATCATTCCCCACCCTCCAGGCAGCTGAATGTAAAATATCTGTGGGCTATTACAATGGTCAGTCTTTACCTGAAAGCACTGGCTGTGCCAATAGAAGTGCCACATTAAACAACTAGAAATCACATCAGTCATTCAATTCCAATACATCCACCACCAGCCCAATTTGGTACACCAATCATTAGAACCAATATTTTTGTTGATATCTCAATCCAAATATCCAAGTAATAATGCTCGATTAGGTTGTACATGTGACATTGAGAAAAGAAAATACTTAGCATTGTGCTCATTTAATCCGAGCTAAACAGCTACAGGAATCTCTTCCACACAAGTATGGATGCTGAGGCGCAGTTGAATGAAGAATCTCACAAACTGGTTCCACAGAATTACAGAATTGTTACAGTACAGAAAGGGGCCATTTGGCCCATCATGCCTGCATCAGATCTTCAGACGAGCATCATTACCTAATGTCAATCTCCTGCTTTATTCCCATTTCTCTATGTACTATTTTTACCTATACGATCATCTAAATCTAAGGTTTTGGAGTAGATTTGTAGCTTGGGGTTGTGGGTGTTGAGGTTGTTGAGGTTGGTTGGCTCGCCGAGCTGTTTTCTTGTTTCGCAGCCGTTTCATTACCATGCTTGGTAACATCCTCAGTGCAGTCTCTTATGAAGCATCAGTGTGTTTTCCCACCTGGTTTTTAAACTCTGGGGTCTGCTGAGATGGATTGCCTCATTTCCGGTTTTCCTTCATAGTGGAATGTATATGGGGTCGAGTTCAATGTGTTTATTAATAGCATGCTTCATGGAGTGCCATGCTTCTAGGAATTCTCGTGCCTGTCTCTGCCTAGCCTGTCCCAGGATCTTGGTGCTGTCCCAGTCGAAGTAAGTGGTGGTTCTCCTTGTCCATGTGGATTGAGATGAGTGAGTATTGGTAGTGTGTTTTTGTAGCCAGTTGGTGTTCATGTACTCTTGTTGTTAGTTTCCTTCCTGTTTGTCTGATGTAGTGTTTCTCGCAGTCTCTGCAGGGGATCTTGTGGATGAAATTGGTCCTGTCCATGGTGGGGAATGGGTCTTTAGTTCAGGTGAGCACTTGTCGTAGGGTTGACGTGGGCTTGTGTGCCATTCTGATGCCTAGCAGTCGTAGAAGTCTTGTGGTGAGTTCTGATGTGTTTCTGATGTAGGGTAGTGTGATGAGTGTGTCGGGGCGTGTAGTCTCTTTCTGATGCTGTTCGTGTAGGCATCTTCTGACCAAATTCTTTGGATATCCATTATCCTTGAAAACCTGGAAGAGGTATTCTTCTTCTTCTTGGCGTAGTTCTGTGTGGCTGCAGTGTGTTGTTGCCCTTTTAAATAGTGTTCGCATGCAGCTTCGTTTGTGTGTGCTGGGATGGGACAACACCAAGATCCTGGGACAGGCTAGGCAGAGACAGGCACGAGAATTCCTAGAAGCATGGCACTCCACGAAGCATGCTATTAATAAACACATTGAACTCGACCCCATATACATTCCACTATGAAAGAAACCCGGAAGTGAGGCAATCCATCTCAACGGACCCCAGAGTTTAAAAACCAGGCGGGAAAACACACCAACGCTTCATCGGAGACTGCACTGAGGATGTTACCCAGCATGGTAACGAAACATCTGCAAAACAAGAAACCAGCTCAGCAAGCCAACCAACCTCAAGATCATCTAAATGCCTCAAGTGAAGCTGCCTCCACCACATTTCCAGGCAGTGCATTCCATATCCTAACTACTCAATGTGTAAGAGCTTTTCTTATCATGTTTTGCACATCACTTTTAAATCTATGCTCTCTCTCATTCTTGTTTCCTTTTTATGAGCAAGAACAGCTTCTCTGTATCTACTCTATCCGACCAGCTTTTGATTTTTAAAACCTCTATCAAATCACCTCTCAGTCTTCTTCTCTTCAAGGAGAACAGTCCCAATTTCTTCAATCTATTCTCACAACTGAAATTTCTCATTCCCAGAACCATTCTTGTAAATCACACTGCTCTCTTTTCAAAACCTTCACATCTTTCCTCTAATAAAAACCAAAAGAACTGCGGATGCTGTAAATCAGGAACAAAAACAAAGTTTTTGGAACAAAACTCATTTCTGAGGAAGGGTCACCGGACCCGAAATGTTAATTCTGTTTTCTTCTCCACAGATGCTGCCAGACCTGCTGAGCTTTTCCAGCAACTTTGTTTTTGTCACATCTTTCCTCTGATGTGGCGTCCACAACTGTACATAATACTCCAACTGAGGTCTGACAAATGTCTTATACAAGTTCAACATCACCTCCTTACTTACGTACTTTATGTCTTAATTAAAAAAGCCAAGGACACTGTACACTTTGTTTACTGCTCTCTCCACCTCCCCTGCCACCTTCAATGATCTGTACACATATATACCCAGGTCCCTCTGTTCCTGCACCCCTATTTTATACTGTCTTTCAATGTTCTTCATACCAAAGTGCATCACTTCACACTTCTCTGCATTCAACCCCATCTGTCACCTATCCATCCACTCTACCCAACTTGTCAATGTCCTCTTGGAATTCCACACTTACCTCCTCACAGTTTACAATTCCTCCAAATTTAGTGTCATCTGTAATCTTTGAAATTGTCCCCTGGACATCAAGATCCAGATTATTAATATATATCAGGAAAAGCAAGGGTCCCCAGTGAAGTCCATGCTATAAAGCTTCCTTCAGCCCAGAAAATGTCCATTAATGATTACTGTTTGCTAGCACTCAGCCTATTTTGCTACTGCCCTTTTTTATACCATGACCTATAACTTTCCTCACAGGTTTGTGTGGAACTGTATCAAACTTCTTCTGGATACCATGTATAACACATCAACATTGCGCCTTTCTGTTACTACTTCAAAAAAAACTACAATTTAATTAAACCCAGTTTCTCCCTTTTTAGAATTTGATGCTGATTGTTCATTATCAACCCACTTTTTTCCCTGTGGTTACTAATTTTGTCCCAAATAATTGTTTCTACAAACTTCCTCACTACTGAAGTTAAACTGACTGGTCTAGTTAAATGGAATGGATATGTAAGGATGGTGCAGGATGGATGAGCGTGGCACCATGATAACAAATCTCCTGGCAAGAGCAGCTCCAAGTAGAACTGGACAAGATAGTTAGAAAAGGCACAAAGAACTGAAATTGCTGAAAAAACTCAGCAAGTCTAGCAGCATCTGTGGAGAGAAAGTAGAGTTAACGTTTGAAATCCAGTGACCCTTGTCAGAAAGACATTGAGAACTGAGGGATCAGCTCACGACTGATATGGTCAGAGTTGAGCTGTTGATCTGGAAGTTGTTGTTGTCAGTTTCTAGCTGTGATTGTACGTTATGCATCATTTGTCCTCATACCATTCTTCACAGGCACTGGTATACCAGGGATCAACACTGTTCAAAGAAACAGCACGATTCTAACATCAGTCCATACTAGCACAAAAATTTCCAATGTGCGCACATCCCACTGTTACTGAGCCTTAACTAGAGAAGACTCCAATGTGATCCAATCTGCTCTGAACTAACTCAGCTCACATGAGGTGTTGTGTTTGCCTCCATGCCGTTGGATAGATAACTAGGGAGAGAAAATCATCCAAGGTTCCTGCTCCTGTTTACTATCCATGCTGGAAAGGATTGATGACTTTCTTTAGTTTGGCTGTGGGAATCGATTGATGGAATAGCCCAAGAACTGTTACTACTGAGTTTCACTCATCAAACAATGACACTGTCATCCCACCTCAAATCTGTGCCCTCCGGAGAGAAACAAAACTTTGTTTTCAAAACAGGGGCAACCCTGACAAGGCCAGTACTTTTTTGTTCTTGAGAATAGTAATGAGCTGCCATTCTGTTTATAATCCCAGATCAGACTGAGAAGTTGGTGTTACAATCTTGATGGCTGGAAGCCACAAAGATTTGTTTTAAGTAGCCAAATGTGAGTCCTATGGGACTCAGAATAACAGCAAAAGATTCCACAATTTTGAACAGCAAAAATCTTTACTCTTAGAATATGTAGATTATATTAAATATGTAACTTGCATTATAACACAGAATTAATGTGATAAAAATAGGTATTAACTGATTGAACACCCACTGAAGTAGCAAATGTAATTTCTATGGATTTCTCAGCAATTTCTCCACCCAATCCACTGCCAAATGAGAGATGTTTCACAGAAATGGGGTTGCTGCATCATAAAGACTGCTACAAAAAGAAGGATTTATCACAAGGCACCACAATCCATGTTGCATAGGCACACCCTGAGTGCTATTAGGGAGGGAGCTTCAGGATTCTTTCCACTAACACCGAAGGAATAGCAATAAGGTTCCAAGTGAGGATGGTGTGTGGCTTAGAAGGGAATTTGCAGGTGGTGTTTCCAGGTACCTGCTACCTTTCTTGATTATGGAGGTCTCCGGTTTGGAAGGTGCTATTAGAGAAGCCTTGAATTTCTGCAGTGCATCGTTTAGATGGTACACAGTGTGCATTGGTGGTGGAGGGACAGAATATTGAAGCTCTTTGATGTGGAGTAAATCAAGTGTCCTGGATGGTGTCAAGCTTCTCAAGTGTTGTTGGAGCTGCACCTATCCAGGCAAGTGGGAAGTATTCCATCACACTCCTGACTTGTGCCTTGTAGATGATGGACAGGCTTTGGGGTGTCAGAAGGTGAGTTACTCACCACAGTATTCCTAAACTCTGACCTGCTCTTGGAACCATATGTTTATATGGCAAGTCCAAGTTAGTTTCTGGACAATAGTAAGCCCCAAAGGAATTTATTTGGGGGCTGAAGGGTTGAGCAATAACTGTACATTTGAAGAACAGGGTAATTTCTCTCTGGCCATGAATGAGAAATGAGTCCATGCTGTGTTGCTGTAAATTATATAGGTTTCCTGCAGTGAGTCTGTCAGGAGACAGCTGGCATCCCTGTGGAGACTGAGTGCCTTTGGAATACCTGTTTACCAGGAGATCTAATTATCAGCAATTCATCTTTTGCAGCCAGATGCTTGTGAGACTGACTTTGATGCGGTGTCGATGATCCGTGGAGAACTCTTTTTCTTTAAGTCGGAGTACGTTTGGAGATTGCGGGATGGTCAGCTGCAGCCTGGTTACCCAGCATTGGCCTCACGGCACTGGCGGGCAATCCCTGACCACATTGACGCAGGATTTGAGGACTCATCTGGGAACTTTTGGTTCTTCCAAGGTCAGATTTCCTTTCTGATTATTTTAGTCATTTTCTTTCTTTGAAGATAGCTTATAGGAATATTGTAATATATTTAAATAGATATATATGTGTTATATGGTGACCTAGCCAGCGATACCACATCAGTGATAGTGCTGGAGCAGTCAGTGTTAGGGAGTGGAGTGGGCAGTTTGGGGATCAGGGAGTGGAGGGGATCAGTGTGTCAGTGTTGGGGAGTGGAGGGGATCGCTGTGTCGATGTTGGGGAGTGGAGGGGATCAGTGTGTCGGTGTTGGTCAGTGTCGGGGATCGCTGTGTCGGTGTTGGGGAGTGGAGAGGTTCAGCGTGTCAGTGTTGGGGAGTGGAGGGGATCGCTGTGTCGATGTTGGGGAGTGCAGGGGATCACTGTGTTGGTGTTGGGGAGTGGAGGGGATCAGTGTGTCGGTGTTGGTCAGTGTCGGGGATTGCTGTATCGGTGTTGCGGAGTGGAGGAGATCACTGTGTCGGTGTTGGTCAGTGTTGGGGACGGAGGGGTCAGTATTGGTCAGTGAGGCTCTCACTTGCTCCCGAATGTGGATTATCAACCAAGAGATTGACACAGTCAGAGCAGGGATCTGATCAGCTGGGCTCGGGCTGTTGCACAAGGACTGATTCTAGGCAACCTGAAAGAAAATAATAATAACCACCCCTTTACCCAGGATGTGTACACAGTGTAGTGGAGTCAGTGAGGAGACGTACTGGGAATGGTTGAATAGTTCTTTGTGTGGGTGGGAAGGGAGTGTGTCAGTCTCTTTGGGGGGCTAGGGCCTGATAGTTCATCTCCTCCTGTGAGGGATCAGTTGAACGTTTTTATTGAGCTTATTGACTTCTCCCTCTCTTTCTTTCTCTCCTCTCTTTTCTCTCTTCTCTCTTTCTTTCACTCTTTTTTTCTCTCTTTCTCTCACTCTTTGCTCTCTCTCTCTCTCCCTCTCTCTGCATCTCTCTCCTTTATCCCCCTTTCAACTTGGCTGCATAAATGTGAGGAGCTATTAATCAATGAGATGAGAGTATTTTAATGTGCAGCTAACTGAAATAAAGATCTCATGTAATATTGTGCACATGGACTCTGTTGATAAACATTTCATCTAATGTGTAATAGTGGTAGCAGAGGATGGTTTCCTCTTCTAATATATAACCAGCCATTCTGGAGACTTTCACCGGCTGCTGTGTAAAGAACGTTTGTACGCACCTCCAACACATCAACATGCTAAGGACAAATCTGGTAACATTACAGTTGTCATATTGTTATGAAACATGTAAATGATGAGCCGGAGTGCTTACTCACCCTCAAACTTGATTACTGCAGATTTCCACTAATATATAATAATCTGTCAATTCCTGCCTTAAAAATATTCAAAGATTCTACTTCCACCATCTTTTCAGGAAGAAGGTTACAACGACTCATGACCCTTTGGGGGAAAAAAAGTTCTCCTTGTCTCTGTCGTAAATGGATGATACCTTTCTTTTTAAACAATAGCCTCTAGTTCTAGACTCTCCTACAGTGATATGTCTGTCCTACATGCACTGCCTTAAGGCCCACATGGTCTTATGTATTTAAATCAAGTTGCCCCTTAAACTCTAACAGGTACAAACACAGCCTCTCCAATCTTTCCTTGTAAGACAATCTGCCCATTCCAGGAGTTAGTTTAGTAAACCTTCTTTGTACTGCCTCCAAAACATTGGCATCCTTCCTCCAATGGGAAGATCAGTACTGTACATAATATGGCGGAGCACTAATAAAATGTTGAAATATGATTCCCCTTTCACAAAACCATATGACACAAATAACTTGAACTGTTCTAAATATCCTGCTGTAATTTGAGGTAATCTTGAATTTACCTCTTATTTAGGCTGAAACTATCAATACACTTCACAAACAGTAAGGCCCCCAATACCAAGCCCTGCGGAATGCCACAGGAAACAAACTACCAGACACAGAAAAACCCCTACCATTACCCTCTGTGTCCTGCCTCTCAACCAATTTTAGAACCAACGTGCCACTTTGCCTTGGATCCCATGGACTTTGATATGTATATTAGACATTACACTTTATCAAAACCCTTTCTAAACTTCATATAGACCACATAAGATATCATTATCAACAGTCCTGTTTACATCCTCATGTTTGTCAAACACAACCTTTGTTTAACAAAGCCATGCTGACTATCCCTGATTAATTCATCTCTTTCCAAGTGCAGATATGTTCTGTTCCTCAGAATTCTTTCTAAGAACTTGCCAACCTCCAATGTAAGACTGGCTGGCCTGTAATTTCCTGGTCTATGCCTTCCCTTATTTCTAAAAGTGGGACGTTACCAGTCCTTCATTCCTCTGGCATTTCACCAGTGAAGAATTTCCAAAGCAAATTTGAAAATCACTGTTTAGGGTCTCTGTTCTCTCCTCCCTTGCCTCCCTTAACAAGCTGAGATAATCTCATCCGGATATGCAGATTCATCTACCTGTATGGCTACTAAACCCTTTGGTACCTCCTCTTTCTCCATGATGATTTCCTCTAATATTTCACAGTGCTCCATTCTGATGTCTATACCTGTGATGTTCTTTTCTCATTGTGAAGACCGACATAAAGAATTCACATCTTCAGGGTCCACAGACAAATTATCTCTATAGTCCCTAATGAGACTTGCTCTTTCATAGTTATCCTCTTGCTGTTTATATATTTATAAAATAAATTTTATGTTTTCCTTTACAATACCTGTCAATGCTTTCTCATGCACAATCTCTACTTTCCTAATTTCCTTTTTAAGTTCACCCCCGCACATCTTAAATTCCTCTAGGGACCCTGCTATGTTTGAAGCCTTGGTATCTGCACTAAATTTCTGTTTTGCTCTTAATGCTAACCTTTAGGCCCCTTTAATATCCAAAGTTCTCCAGTCTTGGTCCCATCCTTTGCTCTTTGCCAGTCCACTTGGCGTCTCTTAGTAAAATCCTTTCCTGAGTTCAGGACTTTTATTCTCATTCTTCATAACTATCCTAAATCTAACTGAGTTATGGTCACTATCTCCAAAATGCTCTCTTACTGATACACTTTTCACCTGTCCAGGCTCGGTTCTGAAAACTTTGTCCAGAACTGCCCAGGGCTTTCTACGTACTGACAAAAAATGTTCTCCTGGATGCAATTTAGGAATTTTGTTCCCTCTCAATGTGCACACTAAAACTATCCTAGGTAATATGTGGGCATTTAAAATCCCTTGCTATTACTGCCTTCTCTGAAATTTGATTACAGATTTGATCCCGTTTCTTTCCCTGTTTTACTTGTTTAGGGGCCTATAGCATATACCCAATGGCTTGTTTTCCCTTTTTTCTGATTTTTACTTCTACCTATATCCTCCATTTGATGATCCTTCTAAGATATCCTCTTTTCTCATGCTCTAATTGATTTCTTACGATCCCTCCCACTCTTCTGTCCCCCTCTGTACCTCGTTTCAATATCCTATAACCAGGAATGTTGACAGTTATTCTTTCAGCCATAGCTTACTCCCTGTGCTCTCAGCTCATCTTACTCTTAAGGCCTTTTGCATTAAGATATATTCCAATTAGGTTTACTACATACATCCCTTTCTTATCTAGCCTACGTTCCTCCTTCCAGACTCACTTGCTCACTTTTTAACATTTAATTCCATCTCCACTTCTCTCCACTTGGACCTACTTGCCAAGATCCTGTCCCTGGTCAATCTAGTTTATATCTGTCACAACAGCATTAGCATAACTTCCGGTGAGAATGTTGGTCCCATTCACAGTCAGATGTAACGCGTTCGGCTTGTACAGTTCCCACCTCACCTAGAAATCATCCTAATGCCTCAGGAATCTACAGCCCTCTCCCCTGCAGCCACACATTCACCTGCTCTGTCCTCTGTTTCTATACTTACTACTGTGGGCACCTGAAGTAATCTAGAAACTACAACCTTTGAAGTCCTTCATTTCAATATTCCACCTAACTCTATCCTTTCTCTTTCTCCCCATGTCATTTGTCCCAAGATAGACCACAGCTTCTGGAGATCACCCTTCCCATTCAGACTGCCTTCACTGTGAGGTTGTTAATTAATCCTATCTCATTGCACAATACCAGATCTAGTATAACCTGCTCTCTGACTCCAAGATGTACTGTTTTAAGATGCTATCGTGAAAACAGTCTGTGCATCATAGAGTCATACAGCACAGAAGCAGATCCTCTACCTTTTTCTTTTGATTTTATCCCCCCAGTCTCTATATAGATTAAAGGCCTTCCTGATTATTGCTGTAACTATCTGACAAGCTCCTGTTATTTCTTCCTTTATATCATAAAATATCATGGTTACTGTTCGGGACTGCATGCCATTTCCACAAGTGACTTCTTGCCTTTATCATTCCTCATCACTACCCAAACCACTCTACATACTGGTTTCTTTAAATTAACACAATAGAGAGGGATGCCTGAATACCGTCACTAATTAACAGAACTGTTCCTCCATCTTTTCCACTTTTGACCTTCCTAAATGTCCTGTTCCTTCAAAATTCAGGTTCCACTCTTGGTCATCCTGCAGCCATCTCCTTTGTAATGGCTATTAGATCAGACTGATGTATTTCTGTTTGTTCACCTCTTTTGTCTTGAAGGCTACATGCATTCGGATACACAATCTTTAATTTTGTCCTTATTTTTGTAATCTCTAACCTTATTATACTTAGAATGTGTACCTTCTCTGAACCGCTTCTAACACACTTTTTTGTTCTTAAATGAGGGGACCAATACTGTACACAATACTCTGATCTGGCCTCACCAGTGCTCCGTATAACAAATTTGATACCTTGCCATCACTATTCAGTTTAAAACCCTTATTACTTCCCTGGCTATGAGGCTTGCTATAACACTAGTTTCTAGTAGGGTTCAGGCATAGATTGTCCCAACAGTTGTGCCCACTTTCCCCAATAGTGTTACCAGAGACCCATGATCTGGAACACACTTCCCGCACACCAGTCTTTGTGCTGTGC